AAAATTTTTGAGTTGATCAAGTTCTTATTGGTTTTTGAGTTGATCATATAATGATAATATGAACTAGTTTAACTTGAGGCCTTATCTTACTGCAGCTCATTTATAATAATTTCAGAGCAATTCTCAATATCATACCAGATTTTCTCATCATAAGATAAGAACAATGATAGGGGGTGGTGGGCTACGGAATACTACAGGCTACTTTCTAGCACTGTTAATAACATCGTTGCTTCTGATGAATGCTGAAATTACTTCTGATTATCTATCAAGTGCAAAGGCTCCAATTTCTTGGATTAACAACAACTCAAACTCTAGTTGGGACTTGGAAGGGTTTATTGAAAATCCTGCATGTGGGGGCTCAACACAAGGCTTGCATCCAACTTAAAACCAATTGGTTATAGTTGGAGTAGCCCTCCTTGTATTTAACCCATAAGTTTTTTATTTTTATACTTAATGTGAGATTTCCCACTTAACAGGGTTTATACTGAAACCTATCTTTGTAAATGGGCATTTTGCTTGTGGCTTCCACTGCAAAGTTGAAGAAAACAATACTTGCCTCTTTGCTATCTCCGTCTTCTTTTCTAGAGGCTCATATCCAAATAATCCAATTGCAAAAATGATATGGTTTGCTAATCGAAACAATCCGGTTGGACGTGGGGCAGAATTGCAACTTTCCCAACAAGGGGATCTAACACTGCAAGATGTTGATAGCACTCTGGTTTGGTCCACTAAAACAGTAGGTAAATCTATTTCTGGGTTGAAGCTAATTGTTTGTGCAGCTTTACGAACCTACACTGTAGAGATCTTCACTGGGAGACACTCTAATGCTCAAGTTAACAATACTCAATATTCTAGAGAGAGAGAGGCTCCCAAGAGTAATTGCAGAGAGAGAAGCATAGTGGAGTTATTACTTTGAGTGGAGGTAGGTGGGGGTATTTATAGCCCCCAGGTGATGACATGAGTCCATAGATGTAAGCATCTGATTGGTCCACATGTAACCACCCACATGGGTGTGTCTGGGCTAGTGTATAGATGCATCTTCATTTTTGGGCTCATGGATGAATGACTGGGCCTACCGTGCATGGTCTAGGATGAATGTTGAGCCTATTCCCAACATTACTCCCTCCTCAGTGTTCGGTTGACGAACTGGGGTAAATGCACCCGTGGCCCAACGTTCATGCTAGAGAATAGGGCCTACAATCTTTTGATTTTATGAAAGGCCTTGTTAGCGATCGAGCTGAAAGATTATGGTATAGAATACACATCCAAATGCTAAGTTTTGACTTGAATGAGCTGTGATGTATTCGAATTAAACCCTAGATGAGGAAGCCTTTACGAAAAAGGTTACACCTGGGCGACCTGATCATAGAGCAACCTTATCCACCCGAGTTTAAATCATGTATCTTTGAATAGAACAAGCTCATATGCCCAAGTGTGAACGAGAGAGCTGGTATTATGACGATCATACTTGGATGAACTCAGTGCATTAGCGAGTTCAATGAGATCGTAAAAGGCGAGCTCGTATAACGAATTTTGAAACTTCTAAGTGGAGTAGGTCTGGAAGGAGATGGAGTCTCCTAGTAAGATGTGTGTTGCATATGAGGTGTTACATGGTGTGCTCGTCCGCGTTAATGTGAAAATGAGCAAACGCGTGATAGTTTCAACCACAGTAACCTTTCAAAAATTTTAAAACGGAGTGGATCTCTGGGGGGATATGGCTAATATCCTTCTATAAATTTAAAATGGAGCGAAATGAGGTCGTCTATGCAATTGCGAAGACGAGCTAAAGTATGACGATCTAAACCTTGACAATTTTCAAATTTTAAAAATGGAGTAGATCTCTGGGAAGATACGGTTGATATCCTTCTACCAGCAAATATCTCCATGTCTTCCCCGCAATAAATGTTGGCTCAGCATTTGAAGAGACGTGACAGCTAAAGTTGACGGACGTTACACGCCAAGCTGTAAATAGCTGCCACGTGTGGGGTTTTGAGTGGCGCGTCAGAAACAGGCGTACGGTAATTAAGCCTGCACGATTTGCTTAAGGAAAAGGAAGAGAAACGACCATACAACCATTTTGGCATTTCTTTTTCACCATATTCTTTGTCATTTTTGTAGGGTGGGTGTTTGAAGCTTTTGAAGTAACTCTGAAACCACAGACATAAAAGGACATTGCATTCCCCAAATTCAAGTAAATATGGACTTCTTTAGAGAACTTAGGGAGCTTCGGGGTAACTAGGATAGGGAGGAAGAGGGGGTTGTTTCCATGGAGCCGATTGCGATGATAGTGCCGCCAAAACTGCAAGACTTGTTGAAAACAATAACACCTGAGAGTAGCACCAGTTCAAGCGCACATGGTGACTCTGG